CCCATGACTTTGCATGTAACCACTTGTAACCGCTCACTTCCTAGGATGCGTCCCACGACTTTGCATGTAACTACTTGTAACCACTCACTTTTTAGGTTGTCATGTGTCCCATGACTTTACATGTAACCACTTGTAACCGCTTGCTTCTTTGGCTGGCATGTGTCCTAAGACTTTCCATTAGAACACCGTAGTACCTTTCCATTGAAATCGACCTGAGTAATATTCAACTGGAAAATAAGGGTGTAAACAGATACCATGGTATTATTCTTGGAAAAATTACATTTTAATGTTCAAAATTTGTTAAAATTTTGTTTTGAAGTACTTGAGAAATACGTAATCAAAGTATGTTAGAAGTATCGAATATGTGTTACAAATAATAAAAATATATGTTCTAAAATTATGAATACATTTAGTAAGTATCGATAGCGAAAAAAAGGAATTTTTTTTTTTTTTTTTTTTTTTTCGCAAGCAAGAAAACATATTTATTGATTAGAATCAGAAATTACATCCAAACTAGCTTTATGCAAAACAAACTCTGGGAAATTATCATCCCATAAACATGTAATTTTCTCTTGTAAAGCATAAGCAGCAACTGCATGGGCAACCTCATTCCCTGCTCTAAGCGTATACACCAAATCAAAATTAGGTTGATGATGAAGCCATTCACTGATATCTTCTACTAGAGGGCTAAGGAATTTTTTTTTTCAAACGCTACTATTATGATTGATTTATTTTTTTTATGCTTTGCAAATTTCCTTCTATGTTTTATTATTATTATTTTTTCGATGAATAATTTTCTTCTATGGTTGAAGGGATGGGAAGGATTTTTTTTTTTTTTAATTAGCCCGGTATGGTTAAACGGCATGAACAAATTTTTCTTTTTTTTCTTCTTTTTGCCGAAATGAAGAGCAAGTAATATAGAAGAAAGCCTAGTGAAATATGTTTTATTTTAGTTTCCATTAAAAATATGTCTAGAATTGTCATTTCGGGTTAATAATATATAATGGTAATAGAAAAAAAAGAGTTGAGTTTCTTAAAATATAAAAAGAAAAAACTGATTAACTAAACTAATTGCCATAACAATAGATTCTAAAAGTTAGGATTAAACGCAAGTATAGTTCTTCTTACTCATTAGGAAACAGTCTATGAAGCATTGACACGGACACGGGTACGATACGACATGGATACGGTGACACGACAAATTTAAAAAAAATAGGATACGGACACGGCGGGGATACGCCTATAAAATTATATATATATATATATATATATATATATATTCAAAATATAATTACTAGAACCTTGCACTTTCATTTTCCTAATAACAAACAGGTATATATAAATACAAAATTGCAAATAAAACAACAACAAATAACAGGACCAATTTCAATAATTTCATCTCTATTATAAGTAAAACATAGACAAGACAAAATAGAAAATAAACGAAAAATAAAGTTGATCCAAATGATAAACGAAGATGTGCAGAAGAGACATAACTATAATGAGCTAAATATGTACATGAATAAACATATATACTTTCAGTATTTCACAAAGTCTTGTTCATGTAACTTAAAAAAAAAAAAAAAAAAAAAAAAAAAAAAAAAAAAAAAAAAATTGTCGGGTTCATGTAGAGAGATAATTGAAAAAGATGAAAGACTGAGAGAGGAAGTGAGAGAAAATAAATTTTCTGTGTAATACTCTGTTATTTGTAGCAGTTTTTTTATTTTTTCAAAATTTTACTTTTAAAATTAATAAATTACATTAGGTACCCCATTTATCTTTAAAAAAAAATTACAAAATATACCCCGCCGTATCCCCCGTCGTGTCTTGTCTTTTAAAAAAATTACAAAATATACCCCGCCGTGTCCCCCGCGTGTCCAAGCCGCATCCACCCCGTGTCCTTCGCGTGTCCGAGCCGTGTCCAATAAAAACTAATTTCTGGACACTTCACAGAAGTGTCGGACACGTGTTCGAGCCTTGGACATGGGGTGTCAGTGTTCGAAAAGTGTCCGACACTGGTACGGAACTCCTAAAAGGAGTGTCTATGCTTCATAAGAAATAGTTAAACAACACTATATATGTATATGTATATATATATATATATATATATATATATATATATATATATATATATCTTATTTTTTATGTGTGTAAGTTTTCTTGATGAGTTGTAACTATTGACCCATTTTAATAGGATATAAATTACGGACCAGGTGTATCAAAATCAAATAGGATTTTGCCTTTTACAGCAAATTTAGTGAAACTTAAATGGATATATAGATCATCTTACTTAGATGGCTGTGACCAAGCCCTTCTGTACCTCAAAAATGAACTTAAAAAAACTCAAATAGGTGGAAACTGAACCTAAAAAAATAAAGAAGATAAAATTGAATAAAAAATATATATAAAAGCAAAGAAACTTTAATAAAATGACCTTTGAAACTCGTTGTGGTAGATTTATGTTTGTTTTTTTGTTTTAAATTTAATCCAATTGTTATAGAAGTATGGGTGGGAAAGAAGTCATAGGAGAATGGGTGAAAATAATTGGTATAGAAATATGGGTGGACAGAGATTAAATAAAGAATACCAATAAATATAATTAGATTTTAAAAAATAAGATGTTTATAGACATTAAGTTAAGAGATATTTAAAATTTAAATAATAATTATAAAAAATACTAACTCTGTCCCATGGTATTCTACTATTCTATTTATGTATCAAATTAGTTGTCCACGGAGAAAAATCAAAGTAAATAAATGTCATTTTTTCACAATTACCCTTTACGTTTTCATTATTACCCCTACGTTTTCTCTGCCTTTAAGTTTTTTTGACCAAACTTGGTACTATTAATATATAAATATATATGATGGATTTATAATTTAAATATCCATGATTAAGGGACGATTGCTAAATTAACGCACTATCTCATAAGATTGAGATAGGTTCTACAGAGTACGATAAGGATTAAAGATTAAGATAGGTTCTACAGATTACGATAAGGATTAAAGATCATGATAAGGATTAAGTCTACAGATTACGAGAAGGTAACTCTACATGACATCCTGACCTAAGCCTTATAAAGAAGGCGGGCTAATAAACGTTTTGAGGTACGCAATAAACCCTAACTCAATTTCTTGATTTCTCTGGAGAGATTACTTCACACACTGACTTGTTCGTCGGAGCCTACTCCACCGGTAACACACCGGTGTTTGTAGGATCACCTTTTCTTCTCTCTGTTCAGGAAGTCAGATCAAATCCGGGTTGCACAGAATCCATCATCAACAGTTGGCGCCGTCTATGGGAACGATTTTAGTTCTCTAAGCAAAGAATGGTTTGATTGTAATCTGGTCTGGCTGCTGGTGAGGACAAAGCATTGCAGGCTTCTGATGAAGGGGACTCGACGGGGCAACCCCCCGTCGTCCCAAAAGATCAGGAACGCGTCGTAGCGTTGGAACAACTGGTGAACCAGTTATTCCAGCAAAATGCGATGATTCTGCAATGCTTAGCCGCCCCCAACGAGGAGAAAAACACTCAACAATGACTCTCGTAGGGTTAACAACGACGTTAAGCTTAGTCAAATAAGGGGTCAACAGAGGAGCCATCACCATCGGTCCCCTGAACAGAATACCAACAGGCTCCATGGAGATACTTCTAGTTATGTTAGTGACAAGACTGAGGACGCCACTCATTTCAATCTAAAGATGTAGGATCTAAAAGCTAAGGTTGACGATGTTATGCAAGCAATGAAAAGGAAAGGCCAAGCTGTGGTGAACGATATGGTGCAGAAGACCAACCTAGTTTTTAGCCCGGCTGTTATGAGTTGTCCTCTACCTAGCAAATTCAAGTTACCAACTCTTGAGAACTTTGATGGGACGCAGGACCCTCTCGACCATTTGGAGACCTACAAAGCTCTTATGTATTTGCAAGCCGTACCGGACGAGATTATATGCAGGGCTTTCCTTACCACACTAAAGGGTTGGGCTCGTCTCTGGTTCAATAAATTAAAGCAAGGCTCCATTGAAAACTTTGAAGAGTTGAGCAAACAATTCATAGGACACTTCATCGCTGGGCAGAAGCATAGGAGACCAGCAACACATTTACTGAATGTGAAGCAGTAGCAGGGAGAGCCTCTTCGTGATTACATAAGTCGTTTTAATACTGAAATGCTGCAAGTAGAAAAGGTGGACGACAAGGTTGCCCTCACAGCCTTTATGGGAGGACTACGAACTTCTAATTTCCTATTTTCCTTATCAAAAGAAGCCCCTACGAGCATGACAGAGTTAATAGTTAGAGCGCGAAAGCACATGAACGGTGAGAATGCAATGAATGCATGAAAAAACAAAGATGGTGAAGATAAGAGGTCGGATAAGAAGAGGCTAGCACCTAGTACTGGGGAGGAAAGGGAATCGAAGTACAAAAAATTCTCAAACAGCCAGGCTGATAGATTGTCTCGCTGTCCAGTGAGCCCAGGCAGGTATAATAACTATACCCCCCTAAATACATCTGTAGAGCAAGTCTTTCTGCAGATTCAAGATGATGCATCATTGAAATGGCCGCCAAAGCTAAAAGCTGATCCAACAAAGAGGTCTCAAAATAAATATTGTAGGTTCCACCGAGACCATGGACATAACACAGAAGATTATTTCGACCTCAAAAACCAGATCGAGAACCTTGTTCGTAAAGGTTATTTACGCAAATTCACAACTGGGAATGGAAAAGGAGGCTCCAACCTAGCCCGAGAGGGTCCAGATGATTGACCTCCTCAACACCAACCAATGGGTGAGATCAGAGTTATATCGGGTGGCTTTACTGGTGGTGGGGAGACGAGTTCGGCTCGGAGGGCTCATGCGAGGAGAATTCAGAGTATTTCAGAGGTGAATAAAGTTAGAGCGACAAGTCCTCCAACAAAATTACCACGAGTTGAGAAGCCGGTCATAACCTTTTCTGAAGAAGATGACAAGGGAATTCACTAGCCCTATAATAACCCTCTGGTAGTTTCCATGGTCGTCATTAATTTCACTATTCATCGAATACTGATAGATAATGGTAGCTTGGCTGACATACTATTTCTTGGGGTGTACGACAAATTGAAAATCGGCCGAGAGAAGCTCCGACCCATGAAGTCACCACTGGTGGGATTTTCAGGCGACAAAGTATATCCACTGGGGGCAGTTACCCTTCCAGTCACTGCAGGTGCCAATCCAAAGCAGGTTACTGTAATGGTGGACTTTGTAGTGGTGGACTGCCCATCATCATACAATATTATCCTGGGAAGGACAACATTGAATGCCATGAAAGCAATCACTTCCACTTACCATCTCCTGCTGCGTTTCCCAACTGAATATGGTATGGGAGAGCTAAGAGGGGACCAAACAATGGCTCAACAATGTTAGGTCGCCTCGCTCAGAAAAACAAAATCACAAGAGGCACTTACGATTGAAGAACTGGAAGGGAGAGATAGGCCAGACGTTCATAGAGCGGAACCTATCGAGGCGCTAGAAGAGGTCATTCTTGGTGATGGTGAGGCCGAGAAGAAAGTGAGTATAGGGTCTTTACTCCCCCAGGTATCAAAGATGAACTTACTCAATTCCTCGGGAAGAATCGAGATGTATTTGCATGGGCGCATGAAGACATGCCGGGTATAGACCCCACTATCATGGAGCACCACCTAAATGTAAATCCTAACTTCAAAACTGTCAGACAAAAGAGGAGGACTTTCGCTCCAGAAAGGAATTAGGCTATATCAGAAGAAGTGGAAAAGCTCTTAAAAGCTGACTTTATTCAAGAGGTGTACTACCCCGATTGGCTGGCAAATGTGGTCCTAGTGAAGAAAGCAAATGGAAAGTGGAGGCTATGTGTGGATTTCACTGACCTTAACAAAGCTTGCCCGAAGGACAACTTTCCTCTCCCAAGAATCGATATGCTCATTGAGGGGATGGCTGGACACGAACTACTAAGTTTCATGGATGCATATTCTAGATACAACCAGATATCTATGTACACCTCAGATAGAGAAAAAAATAGCCTTCATCACTGATAGAGGTTTGTACTGTTACAAAGTAATGCCTTTTGGGCTCAAGAACGCTGGTGCAACATACTAAAGGCTAGTGAATGCAATGTTTAAACACCAAATTGGTAGAAACATGGAGGTATATGTTGATGACATGTTGGTGAAAAGCCTAAAAGCTGAAGACCATTTGATAGACCTGCAGGAGACCTTCGAGGTACTTAGGAGGCATAAGATGAAACTCAACCCCAACAAGTGTGCCTTTGGGGTTTCCTCAGGAAAGTTCTTGGGATATATGGTAAGCAGAAGATGAATTGAGGCCAATCTAGAGAAGATCTGAGCAGTCATTGACATGATATCACCAAGATCAACCAAGGATTTACAATAACTAACATAGAAGATTGCTGCCTTTAGTAGGCTAATCTCTCGGTCAATTAATAGGTGCCTACCTTTCTTTCGTGTGCTAAGGAAGGCTTTTGAATGGACCCCAGAATGTGAGCAGGCGTTCAAAGAACTAAAGCAATACCTTAGTTCTCCCCCACTACTGTCTCGAACTATACCGGGAGAGGAATTATACATATACCTTGCGGTCTCCACGACAGCTGTCAATTCAGCTCTGATATGAGAAGAAGAAGGGGTCCAAAGGCCAGTGTACTTCGTGAGCAGAGCACTCAGGGGTACGAAGGAAAGATATCCAAGGATGGAACAGTTGGCCTTTGCTTTAATTGTGTCCGCCAGGAAACTGAGACCATACTTTCAAGCGCACATGATAATGGTGCTAACAGATCAACCCCTTCGACAAGTCCTACACAAGACAGAAAGCTCTGGTCGACTGATGAAGTGGTCAGTAGAGTTAGGAGAGTTTGACATTCAGTACAAGCCAAGAACAACCGTAAAGGCTCAGGTGTTGGCTGATTTCTTAGCTGAGTTTACCCCTCCAGAAGAGGAGCAACAACCCAAATTTTCAACAGAACTAGGTTCAAGTGAGCAAATGGGCCTAGAAGTAGTCTGGAACTTGTTCGTGGATGGGTCATCTAATGTTCAGGCTAGCGGAGCCGGGCTTGTTCTTGTCTCCCTAAAGGGAGAAAGTATACAATACGCACTTCGGTGAGTACGAAGCCTTGATAGTAGGATTAAATGTGGCAAATGCCTTAGGGGTTGAGCAATTAAAGGTGTACACCAACTCCCAGTTGGTCGTTGGACAAGTTCAAGCGGAATATGAGGCAAAGGACGAGAAGATGAAGAGTTACCTACAGAAGGTAGAGGAATTAAAGAATCACTTCCAGAGATTCTCAATTCATCAAATACCATGAGAAGAGAATGGGAAGGCAGATGCCTTAGCCCGGCTAGCTATTACATTGGAACCTGAGATCAATAAGATTATACCACTGGAATATTTGGACGAACCATCTATATCTCAGGAGAGACAACTTGACGTGCAACAAGCAATATTGAGTGTGGAATGGGCAGATCCTATCATTAGATATATCAAGGATGGGGTGCTCCCAATAAACCAAGTAGAAGCTCGAAAGGTCAAGATGCGGGCAGCTAAGTATACCCTTATCAAAGGGGTGCTCTACAAGAGAAACTTTTCCATACCGTATTTACGATGCGTTTCTAGCGAGGAAGTTGACTACATTTTGAAGGAGATCTACCTAGAAGTTTGTGGAAACCATGTTGGGGGTAGGTCACTTGTTAACAAGGCCATCCGACAAGGATACTATTGGCCCACCATGCAGAAAGATACACTTAACTTCATTAAAAAGTGCGACAAGTGTCAACGATTTGCCAACATCTCGAGACAACCATCAGAGGAGTTGACTCCCATGTCAGGACCATGGCCATTTGCTCAATGGGGAATGGACTTGATTGGCCCTCTCGTCAAGGGCAAAGGGCACACTAAGTATGCCATTGTTATGGTTGATTACTTCACTAAATGGGTAGAAGCTAAGCCTCTGGCCAGGATCACAGAGAACAATATAAGGAACTTCATGTGGAAGTCAATAGTTTGCTGATTGGGGATTCCTAGAGTGATTGTCACAGACAATGCAAAACAGTTCGACAACTCTGACTTTAAAAAAATTTTATTCTGAGCTCGGGATTCAAATTCATTTCTCATCCATCGCCAGGACATCCCCAGGTGAATGGACAGTCCAAAGTCACTAATAGAACAATCTTCAGATGATCAAGACTCGACTCGGCGCTTCAAAGGGACTGTGGCCTGAGCAGCTGCCGAGTGTTCTATGGGCTTACCGTACTACTGTAAGGACTCCCACAGGGGAAACTCCTTTACTTTTAGCGTTTGGAAGTGAGGCAGTAGTCCCTGTAGAGATTGGCCTAATAAACTTTAGGACGGAGTACTGCCAGCATAAGCAGAATAAAAGGGAGTTGAAAACAAGCTTGGACTTGATCGAAAAAATGAGAGAACAAGCTCAGATTAAGATGGCTACCTATCAACAGAAGGTTTCCAAGTATTACAATGCTCGGGTCAAGCCTAGGAGGTTCTCAGTAGGAGATTTAGTACTCCGTAAAGTTACTCAAGCAACTAAGGATTCAACCATAGGGAAACTAGGTCCCAAATGGGAAGGGCCTTACAAAGTTACGCGATGTCAGCGACCAGGAACATTCTGGTTAGAGGACTTAGAGGGAAAGCCACTGCCTCACCCATGGAATGTTGAGCATCTGAAGAAATATTATCAATATTCATGTTAAATGGATAAGCTGAGTATAGTTCCTACTAATCTACTTCCCTTATTAAAGGGTGAGCTGGGTGAAGCTCATAGTAATCTACTTCCCTTGTTAAAGGGTGAGCTGGGTGAAGCTCATAGTAATCTACTTCCCTTATTAAAGGGTGAGCTGGGTGACGCTCATAGTAATCTACTTCCCTTGTTAAAGGGTGAGCTGGGTGAAGCTCAGAGTAATTTACTTCCCTTATTAAAGGGTGAGCTGGGTGACGCTCATAGTAATCTACTTCCCCTGTTAAAGGGTGAGCTGAGTGAAACTCGTATTCATCTACTTACCTTATTACGAGTTGCATGAAACTCGTCTTAATCTACTTTCCTTATTAAAGGGACGAGCCGACTAAAGATGTCAATAGGATGAAGTATTAAATTACATAATGCGATAATCGCAATGGCAAAACATAACTGTCCATCCTGCTCATGAACCCTACAAATATAAATGGAAACTAATTACAACGACAAATAACAGCAGCTTGCCACATAACGGTAGACTGCCAGCATGCCAGCATAGCAGCTTGCCAAATAATGGTAGACTGCCAGCATATGTGATACCCCTCATTTCTAGAGCCATGGGTGATCAAGTCCGAGCACAGATCCGAGGGATATCAGACAATCAATATATAAACAAGCAGAAATAAAAAACTGAATTAAGAATAAATTAATAAAATGCTAAAAGAAATCTAAAATAAAAACCCTCAAACTTTAAATAATAAATTAATATCATTTAAATCCTTTAAATCTATATAACTTGGGAATCCATCTAATGGACCCCTAATAATCCCAAACAATAAATAAATTTACAGAATTAAAACCCGAAACTAAAATAGGAAAGAACATCCTATGTAGTCGGAAGAGTGAGTAACAGTCTCTGCTCAGCACGATCAAGTCTACGACTGGAACTATCGAACACCTGAAAAATAGAAGTGGGTCAGGCCCACGAACTAGTTATATCCTACTTTAATCCAAACAGAGACTCGATACGCATGTACATCCTAACCAATCCAACAATAACTAAATAGTCCGTACACACACATACACACACACACACACACACACACACACACATATATATATATATATATATTCACACTACAAGACTCTCACTGGATTACAGGCCCGTCTCAACCTGACTAGTAGGCACCATGCAAAACGTACCAGAGGTGGGCATGACTACCTAGACCTAGCAGGGTACACATCTAACCATCATAGCCAGCTATGCATCCCAATGCATATACACTCCCTAGCCAATGACTCTGAGACTCATGTTCATATCGTGACACCATAAAAATATATTTAAATTCCGTTTCAAACCAAAGTGTCACTCAACTGTTTAGTGATTTGACATAAAATACAGGTAGGACTTAACTTTTATAGTTAATCCATCCCTTAATCCAGAGTAGGTAAGACTTAGCGTTCTTTTTGAGCTAATCCCCCTAGTATGTCACCGTCCCATACCGGTGCATACAAACCATCCATTCAGTATTGATAATATAAATATGACAGCATAGCATATCAATATCAACATATCCAATCATAAACATAACACAAGAATGTTTAACTAGCATGCTTGTTTAATACATCCAGTACCCGATTCTCTAACAAATTTTAAATGCAGAGAATAAATATAACCATCCTGTAACTCACAATAAGCATAATAATAATACTAACAGTGTTTACATGCTTACTTGTGATTACTCCACAATATCCCAGAAGTTAACATAAACAAATTCTCAAAAACATCAACGAGTTTCTTATTAAGCATTAACTGAATTTTATATTAGTTAACAGGCTTAATCTCTTACCACTGTTATATGATTTACATATCAAACTCCTATTTCAATTGCTAAATTTAAAAATAAGCAACTTGAATTGTCTGTAAAAATATCGTCACACTAACTTTCTTAAGTGTTCCCGACCCTTCCTACCTATGCATAACAGAGAGTTATCATACCTGACCTGCTTATTTTTCTTATATTACTGTGATAGGATTTAAACCTCAAATCCCTTAAATCAATTGCTAATTAAATATGAGCAACTTGAATCATTCACCTCCCAGCTAATACAACAACTTTCTGAGGAATCTTCTACTATGTTATACCTTTGCTTCCTGGGATTTATTCTGTCTTACCATAACTTCCGAGATGTTAATATGAGTTTAATCACTACTGAACAACCCCAGAATAACCCCTAAATAAATATAGAATTCTTAAAACCCAACCACAGTACCCCAGACACACGCAAAAAACCAGAAACTGCAAAACCTTTCGAAGAAGCAGGCTCCAACCAAGT